CCTGGGACCACTTGGAGTGAGCACTGTAGCAATACATAAATAACGCCAAGGAGTTTATTGCATATAAAGTCATTCACTTCCCTAGATCTCATATGGGAATATTTATTCAGTAGCGTATTTATGGTGATGGTATCAACAGATATTAAAACTATGCCCAGAAGGATTCAGAGTACTTGGTTATGGGAGCAAGTTGTCCAGAAGAAGTGTCTTCAAAAAGAGAAACCCTGAATTCATCCTTGCAGAAATAGTAATTCACATGTCGGCTGCTGTTTGTTTTAAAGACTCGTATCCTGGAGTCATGTGATGATACATGCATATCCCTGATCATTTGAACAAAAAATGTCGTTTCATGGTTATGTTTCATAGTTCCTGACAAATATGTCCTAACTGTATCCTAAAAGAAGTAGGGGTGAAGGGAGACCAACATTTATTTTTAATTCCGTGTATTTTCAGCTTTTATAATTATTTTGCGTGGCCTCGTTAATGAATATTGAGTGCTTGGGATTAGGATTACTGTGTTTGATGCTCTAGATGTTTTGCTCATAGATCCTCCTTTTCTGTCAAGCTACTCCAAAACTAAAATCTTGGTTTCCTGCTTGGCAAGCAAGTTCAAAAATCAAAAGCAAGAAGGGACTTCCTTCCTTTCCCCCTCAGTATTTTTCTATTGTATTGACATTGCGTTTGACAAACAACGTTAAATAACCTTCAGGACTGTATCAGCCCCCAGGTCTTGGTAATGAGGGGAAAATCAGGCAGGCCAGGCCCCGACATGACTGGTTGGGAATCAAAACAAAATTGGCGGTCTTATGAAAAGCCATCCACATCTCTGTTGTCTCTCTCAGCTGTTGGGTGTTGCATTCAGCCCACCGATGGACGTGTCCCTGCTTAAGGCAGGCGGCTGGGCTGTGACCCTTGCAGCGAGGCGGCTCGCTGTCTTTGCGCAGCCCCGAGGCTCGGCCGGCCGCCTGTCCGAGCCAGAGCTGCTCCGACCGGAGGAGAGGAGGCGGCTGGGAGGTGGGGGGAGCAGGCCGGCCAACGTTGCTTCCCCACCTCCTCCCTGCTGGCTCCAGCGAGCTACAAGCATGTGGGCGTTTGAGGTAACCTGGGATCTTTGGCGCTGTTGACTCTGCTAATCAGCGACCTGTTAGGTAATAAGGATGTGCAGCGATAGCTTCATTGAACTAGAGGTTAAAAGAACTGCTGCCGTTCTCCACCCAGAACCGCAATGGGACGGTTTTGTGATAGAGTGAAACCAAACTCTGGGACAAGTTCAGCCTCATCTGACCTGGGACAAATGGTTCCTGTCCCTGCCAAGGCTGCCCCATGGCAGCACTTCCCAGCCCCTGCTGATCCTCCTTCCACCGTGGGGACTGACCAGGGTCAGCAGCTCCCCAAACAGGTATTTTCTTTTTGCTTTAACTTCTGTGAGCCTCACAGAGACACCACATGCTCTCACACCTCAGTGATAATAATCCAGTGCACCATAAAGAAAAGGGTAAATCTACAAAAGGGCTGCCAGCCGTTTCCTTTTGTCAGTGCACAAAATTCTTCAAAGGTAGCGATATCTCTAATTAGTAAGTAGCAAGATGCAACAAGTCTGCAATAACGTACAGCATATTATAATGTCTCAAGTGGCATGAGAAGCACGAAGTGAAATACTTGTGGCCTTTCTGACACAGGAAAAATACTAGTAAATGTAGCTGAATGCAGTTTTTCAACAGACTCCAAGGAATAGTTGGTGGATGTTGGAAATAGACATTCTTCATAATAATCCCATGTTTGAAATGTCCTGACCTTAAAAATACAGTATAAAATTAGTTCCAGGAGAAGAAACCTAGCAAAGGTACCAGATGCCCATTTCCTTTATCAGAATCTCTCAATTATGAAAAAGTGACAAATAGCTAATACCACTAGATTGACTTGAATTAATGTGTGTTTAAAATGAATGAAAAATATGTCTCTTTCCCAGTTAGGAAAAAAATTACACAGTACACATACTCAAAAAATGAAATACATCCCGGGCTTTCAAATGATTGTTGTCTTTCTACAGCACCTTCTTGAAAATGTCATGCGAGATTAGATCTGTACGCCGTTGTGTTGGTAAGCGTATCAAACCCCTGCAAAGGGCGGTCTTTGTTCCAAGAGCTTACGGTCTCCGGCGAGGTTTTCAAAGACAACTGTTCATTTGTGATACCTTTTAAAAAGATCTTACTTTCAGAAAGTGCTGGGCACGTACTGTTAGAAAACCAGGGTCCTTAGAGGAGTCTCCAGCTGGGCACCAAAAATTATATAGGTAACAAGGAAGAACAAGTGCTTCTAAAACCATGGCCTCAAAAGGCATAGTGAGAAGAGAAGAAATGGGCTAGATCATCACTAAATCCTCAGTTTGCTTGCTTTAAATGCAGAGCTTAAAAGAATTATGACTTTTCCCTTGGTTGGTGTCACCAGTTGTGTCCAGCTAGGTGTCCTGCATAGCTCAAAGCTGTTGTGGTCTCTCTGCAGGGTGGATGGAGCTCAGGTTGGGACCAGTCCGCATTTCTCCTTGTTCACGGGTTTCTGTCTGAAGGGCCAGCTGGCTCATTTTGAACTTAAGCACGAGTACAAGCCAACGGCTTAGACAATGGGGATGATTGGGGAATTTCAGCACGAGTGCAATCCTGAGGCCTGACCTGATATAATTAGGCAGTTTACCCGTTTTATTTTAGTCCTGCAGCTCTGTGGCTAGGCAAGGTATTTTCCATTGCTTGGGAGAGCTTTTCAGATTTTCCCTTCTTTGCAGCAGATGCGCTATTTAACCTCAAAAAAAAGTCCTGTTTCTCCTTTGTGAGATAGGCTCATCTCTGTTGAGGCTACACAGATGGGAGATATCCTCCAGTTCACCTGGAATCAAACACTTTTGAGGTGAGGCACCAGTTTGCCTCTCCCCAAGTTTAAAACCTCCCCCAGATCTCCCCTTTATCTTCATACCTGCTTAATATCACCCTTGCTTTCTTTTTTGTCCTGGGGGATGTGGTGGTCAGTTATCTGTCTAGACCAGCTGAAGGCTCAAAACCTTCCCTTTATTCCACGGAATAAAACAGTTGCTGGGTCCCAAATGTGCATCTTTGTCAGGCCACTACTGATGTGGGTATCTCATATAATAGATGACGGTAGGTGGTGGTGGGATCATAGCACTAGAGAACCTTGAGAATAAAAGCAAGGAAGCTGTAAAACAGAAATCAAAAGTAGCACTGTAATCAAGCAAATATGCCCACCTAAGGAAGGAAATAGCTAAGCAGACTGTTTTTTAATTCTATTTCATAGGCCATATTTAGACTGAGGGATAAAGTGCTCATGGCAGGGTGTGGACTTTTTTTTAAAATCTTATTCAGCATTCTTCCAACACCTGCTGGTTTAACATCCCATCCTTTCCCTGCTTGATCAGACCTTCGTGTCCATTTCTGCAAGGGTTTGGGGTCGGGAGAGGCAAATATGGGCAAACTGACAGCTTGGCAGAGACAGTCAGCCCGCACCCTGCAGAGAAGAGCCCGCCGGGCGTGATTTTGAAGGGGTGAGAAGCAGAAATCCTCTGCCAGCCTGAGTTTCAGCTGACGTGAATGCTGCTTTGGCAGCATCAGTATCCCATTAGCTTCACAATTTGGAATCCGGCCCAAAAACCCCTACGATCCAGCTCTTCCCACACATACAGACACGTACATTCATGCAAGAAGCGGGACATCAGTGGGAAAAGGTGCAAAGCCCACCTCCATGAGTCCCATCCCAGCACTGCCCTGGTCAGAGATCTGGTCGGTAAAACTAGTGGTGGGTGAGGGCTCTGAGAAACAAAGGTGTGTCCAAACACATTGAAATAACTCGGTGAACTTGCCTCTGCATGGCTCCTTGGCTCCAGAGGCCAGCGTACGCCTGTGATGGTTTTACATGCCTTTTCGTGGCTACATACTGAATAAACGACTGAATGCGCTTCAGTGTGAGCAGTCCCACAAGGGCACTCGTCTTCTGTTCAGAAAGGCAGAACAGGGAACACATATCACCATCAGGAAATGTATAATTTAGGTTGGGAGGGACCTCTGGAGATCATTCTGCTCAACTGTGCTCAAAGCAGGGCCAAGTGAGGTTGTTCATTCCTTGTCTGGTTGAGTTGCAAATATCTTTGTGGGTGGAGATCACACAACCTGGTCTGTCAACTTGTTCTGAAATTTGACCACCCTCACTAAGACGAATTTTTTTTCTTGTATCTAACTGGAATCTCTTTTGTTGCATCTTGTGTCCATTACTTCTTGTCCTTTTGCTGTGCATCTCAAAGAAGAGTTAGGGTGGAGGGGAAGAGAAATTACAAGAAACCTCTACATGTTCCTCCTTTATGGTGTGATCACCTTACAGGTTTGCAAGGGCTTTCACGCAAGGAATAGCAGCCACCCTCTTGGCCAGTTGGACTGCTGCACAGCCATAGACTCAGCAGGCAACTAATTATCTTACGGGGTCTGAAGCAGGTGAGTTGTTTTCACATCTATGTAGCAATGGCCAACTCTTGCCATCTTGGCTAGCAGAAATGGTGAGGGAACATCAGCCCCTACTTCAGCATTTGGCAGAGCCTTTCCAGCATTTGGTTATCAGGTCTTCAGCAGTCAATGTTAGCCCAACCAAACCAAAGAGCCTGCTCTCTGGGGCTCAGACTAGAGGAAGGGTAAGCAGTGCTTTCACATGAGGCAATAAAATTAATGTAGGATTTGTTAAATCATACAAATGATTACTTGTCTGCACTTTATATTATCTAAGGAATTGACTAAGTGTTGAGTTTTTTGGTTGATGAGTAAAACTGATTAAAGAAAGTACCAGGATCACAATATATATTCTAGGAGTAGTTTGTCTTTACAGCAGAAGTACATATGCTCAGCCCAAACCTGACTTTTTTATTTTAGTTGAACATAAAATGGTGAAAATTCCTTTTCTCTGTTGTATACTCACTGTCTGGTTTTGGTTTTCTGTTTTGTTTCTTACAGCCCCAGCAGAGAGCTCTCCATAAACATTTCCAGCCTCTAAAGCTGCTGTCCTGCCACTTGATATGAAAGTGAACTTTCCTCGTGAAAAGAAACATAATAAATGGCACTGCCAGAAGGTGACCATGGAGGATTGAAGCCAAACTTGAAGTAAAATCAAGATGATGCATTCTGGGAAGACCTGGTTTGCTGTGGAGTAAAAATGTGGTGCATAATATCCAGTGCTAATTTGTTGAAAATGGTCATTGACAGACCTTTAGCTGGAAAATTTCTTCCAGTTTTCATCACTGTGCATAACTTTTGAGTTCCCTTTAGGGGACTGTCTATGCCCTTCACTAGAAGTCCTGTTTTAGCATGGCAACTACTGGATTCTTTTATTATGTATGCAGATGGCATGATGTTTTAGGAAAAACTTACAGCAATTCTCTAATCTCAGTGGATATGTTCACAATATTACACCCCGATAGGAATGTAAACGTCTTGTATATGTTAGTTTTGCAGTCTAATGGTATTCTGTTAAACAATATTAGCACTTCATACGTGCTTTCTGCACAGAACTAGCACAGTCCATATATATTTAATGGTCTTCTCTTCAAATACTGAGGATACGTTTCGGTATTTGTGCTGAGACTGCATCCAAACTGAAGTCCACTACTAGCATACCTTCACCGATTCACAGTAGATTGTGTAGATAGATTTGCACGTGGCAGAGGTGTGACTTCTTTTATCAAAACTTAGAGAACAGCTGTCATGGAGGTAGCCAAGAACAGGGTAGGATGAACGAGCTGTAGGACACTGTGTCTGCTCTCCCTCTCATCCGCCAAATATCAAAGGTTCTCCTTTCTAGTGTGCCAGTGTGTTTTCTTACTCGGCGAGGGAGAGGCAAGGGAGAGAGCCTTTCTCAGAGAAGTCTGTGGCCCTGGGTTTGGTCTACAATAAAACCAGAATAAACTGGAAGAATTCAGGCTCTTTATGTTGGCCACCATTTATGTTTTGGGCAGGACTGGGGAATTCTGGTCCAAACCAAATTCTCTGAATAAGGTAAAGTGTAAGACTACACTTCTAAGGAGCAAGACACTCCTTGGAGAGTGCAGACTTCTTCATTAACTTTTTCCACTTTCTATCCAAAACAGTATTTGGTAGGAACTGGGAATAAGCAAATGGTTCCAATAAGCCTTTCAATATACTGTAGCAGGCTCAAGACTGTTGCATTCAATCTGAGCGTTGTTTTTTGTTCAGTCTCTGAATGGCTGGCCTCATCACTGGCTGTATCACAGCTGGCTGTGGTACTGTTTCTTCCATGGGGACTCAGTGGAGTTAGTGTCTGTCCCTCACATCAGGACCTTCTTGGCACACTCTTTATGATGAACTGATGCCATCAACATACTGAGGGGACTTACGTATTCGTCCCTTCTTTCTTTAATGTCCTAGTTTGAGACATTTAATATCAAAGGTAGCTTTTTGTCTGTTTAAAGACCATCACTCTCCCCAGTCTGATAGACAGGTACTATAGAGTCGCTGTTAGCATATATGCCAAACTGTGGGTGAGGCGCCATACTGGTATAAAGATGCAGCGATGGAGAGAACGTGCAGCTACATCAAGTCCAAGAGACCTTTTTAGTGGAAGCTCCTGTGTTATAATTCTTACAAACTATTTTACAGTTCATTGCTAGAGAATGGAAGGTCAACCACTGAGAGTGCCCGTACAACAAACAGATAAATACCAATAGGGCTTATTGTTTTCAGAAGGGCTTAGCTTTCAGCTCTCCACCCATCTCAGATTCAACATGTTGGATACTTCTGTAGTATTCAGTCCAAAAGCAAATTATTTTTATTGGTAACCAATATTTTCGGAAGTCACTAGTGATTTCTAATGGTTTGGATCTTTCCATGGGTTCTCAAAGAAGCTCCCAAGAATTACAAAGCAGTAAGCTTCTACATTCTCTTTCTGAAAGTCCTGGTCTCTAATTTTAAATTAATTGGTGTAAAAATTCTCCTTCAGACATAAGAATCTTTGCCAATGGCAACATTTGCACTTTTTAGAGCTTTTCATAGGGTTGCAGGTTGGAATCCGATACCAAGAGACCCAGCCGTGCGCATGGCACAGGTCCACTGTAAGCTTCAGCAAATTTTACAGCTCTTTCTGCTACAGGGTTTAAAAATGAGCTCTGGCAACTGACATCAATTTCACGTTGGTACAGGAATTAAAAAAAACCAAAACACTTTGATATAAGTTATTTCAAAAGGAAGGAGAATGCTATACTTCTGCAGTAGGGGTTCTCTTATTTTACTACCCAGTGAAAAGTCCAGAATAATTTGAATGATAAAAGAAGAGTTTATCAGAGGGTGTTATCTTAAAGGAGCGTACAAGAAGAAGTTGAGTTAGGCAGAGAGCCACTAGAAGCATTTTTTGTATCAATGTTAGTTTTGAACATCTTCCAGTATATGGGCATGAATTTAGATGTGTGCACTTCTCCTGTTAAAACAGTTTGTTTTAAAAGCTTCCCAGGATTTTAGCTACGGTGACCTAGAAAAGCAGTGTTATAGGCCCTGAGAAATGTGAAAATCAAGTCCAGACCCTTGTGTAGCCATACTCGGTGAGAAGTCTGCTGTAGGTGCCTATCGGACAAATCTCCTTTGAAGCTGGTGTAGGTCTCCATCCTACAGCCAGTCTGTGCATGTGGATAACTGCAAGCATAGTTCCCCCGAGCCCCGTGACACTTCTCACGTGTGTAACTGTCTGCCGGAGCCGTAAGGAAATAACTGTACTTTTTGGCTTGTATTTAACTATTCATCGTGTTTGGATTTTTTAATCACTGTTATTCTCCCAAAGTAGGCCATGCTTCCTCAGGGATATTTATGAAATTGTTCTACATGTCCTGAACAGCTCTCTGGATCCCAGCGTATTCTTCTGAAAACTTTTTAATATAAATAAACATGTGGGAGAGATTTTTGTTATTATGAATGGGGGCAGGTACTGTGTTCTCGGAAAGGCTATTGAGTGCAGACAATCAAGTCTATTGCATTTTTTATGCTGAACACCTTATTAATAGCAGACACATCCGCTTTTGCCTGGGTCGCAGGAACAGTTCAGGGGAAAGAATGCTTTATCTCTAGTCAATAAATCATTTATGTCGAGAGTGCCAAAGACCAAGTCAACATGAAAGGGAGCAAATAAGTTATTCCGGCAAAGGAAGTGAATCTAAATATGCTCAGAGCCATTAGTTTGGTGCAAAAGAGTGGGAGCCTGACGCTATTTTCATAAAGCAGCAATTATCAGCCCTGTGGAGATAGATAAATTCGGGAAGGCCAGTGCTGCTGTTACATTGATCACTAGTTATTATCTCTGAAACAAAACAGTATTGTGATCAGGACACTGTTCCCTGCGTGCAGACCTGCAGCCTTCGTCCTGTGCCCGGTCCCTCTCCCTGCCGCCGCGCTCGCCTGCTTTCTTTGTGTCGGGAAAGGCTGCAGCATCAGGCCCTGCTAAGAAACGCTAATGGAGACTCAGCCATCCCAAGCGCTTCAAACCATGAGAAGTCCTGCACTAGAAACCTGAAGGAATTGCTTACCCCAAAAAACACACTGCAGCTGAAAGCATCCTTTGCGCTGGTTTGTTCCTTGGATTTTTCATCTGTGTGGCTTTCTGTGCCTGAACACCCACCATTGGTTTTGTTGAGGGAAATGCAGCCTTCCAGGAGGGCAGTCTGAAAAACCTCCGCGAGCTCCTTGGTTTTGCCCACCCAGCTGCATGGTGATGCTCTACCGGTGGGTTCATCCCTCCTTGTCTGTTCCTTAGGTTAAGTGTTGTCACTCGACAGCAGCTGTAGCATCACTGAGGAAATCAAACCATTAAAAATGACAAAATTCTGGTTTCATTTTACCATGAATTTTTGGAAGACCCCAGGCCAGTCCCCTGGCAGACCTGCATTGGCACTACTCCATCAAAGTCTCCAGAGAGGTGTTGATTAATGCCAGCCATGGAGCTAGGCCTGGGGTGGTTTTTTGTCATCACTAAAACTAACCTCCTTCCACCTGCCACAAAGTCACAAGATCTCAATTATTCAAAATTGTCTCAGGCAAGCAAAATAAGACCCTGCGTCTTTCACATCAGTCCCCTTTTAACAATTAACATCTCTGCCATCGGAGTCTCCTTGAAAGGCCCCACTGCAGGACTGTGCTGCAATTGACCATGGTATATATAGACTGTGGTCAATAAGATTTTAGTTTAAAAAGGAAAGGTCCTCTGGTATAATTAAAATTGATGGGTGAGGGGGAAAGTACTACCAGCCTTACCTGCAACCTCCTATCGTAAAATTCAGGAGTGCTATCTGGAGTGCAAAAAAACCCACCAGCATAACGTATGGGTGATTAGGCAGGCTCATGAGGATAAATCAGCAAGTAAGAAAAGTAGATATTTGATGAGGGAAGCTAAAAAAATGTATGGGAAGTCAGTGGCCAATAGGTATGGGTTGGTTAGACCAAAGGCTGTATGTATATCCTAATAAACACAGTCGTAGCAAAGCTAAATCGGATGTTAGACGGGCACAGCACAGTGATTACTCACAGTACATGCAAAAACCAACAAATATTCTTGTTTGGTATTTGAAAGGAGTAGAAGGAGGGAGTAAGATTGCACATTAAAATGTAATTCCTCCTACTCCATCAGTAATTATGGGGAATAATAAGCAGCAACTCTCCAAACATACTTTTTAAATTTGAAGAACCAGATTAACTGAATCCAAAAGTGCAGGAAAACTTGCCTAGGACTCCTCAGAACCAGAAAGCATAAAAGAAGCTTGAAATGACACCAAACACCCCAAGAATTGAAAAGAGCCAGTGATTAGACCCAGGAAACTATAGGTTCATTGGCTTCCTATCAGTCTTAGGCAAAATCATGGAAAAGTTGACATGACACAATCTTTAAAGCAATTAAAAATTGCTAAAACTCTCCCAATTATTTTTATAGATATGTATCCTGCCAAATAAACTCACTGTCATTTTTTGTGATATCAAAAGCTTGTTGAAAGAAACTCTGCTGACATACTATACTTAGCCTCCTATAGATCATTTGATTCTGATAAAGAACAAAATAGCACAATGCAAAATCAATATAGCCCGTATTACGTGGATTAAAACTGATTACAGGCTAGATAACAAAAAATAACTGTAAATATGGAATTATCATCAGCAAGACTATTTCTAATCAGCTCCTCCCAAGGTATGCTCTAGTTTCAGTATTCCTCCCAGGGAAA